CCCAGACCATGGAAAGCTTTCGTGTCAAGACAGTTGCTGTGGCCAGAATCAGACCGACAGTGATCAACATGCACTACATGTGTGATGCCCAGACACAAACCAGATGGAGCAAGTGTTGATTCATTCGTAGATTCTTTTCCATTTGAGAACACTTAGGTTCGACCGCATCGCCACACAGAAGCAGAACGCAGGATCGAGGAAGCTCCGGCAGGACTTGTTTTTGGAGTCTATCAACAAGCACCAACAAGCACAACCGTGCAGCGACAGGCAAGTCATGCATCACTGCCGACGAGGTCAATGCGCTTCAGGTCTTCGACTAGAGTTTTGGAAGGCATTGAAGCTGAATTGGGGCACAGAAACTCAGCCACACAGCACTGCCTCTGCATTCTTTCACGGTGGGACAGCCAAGAAGTCCCTCAGCAATAAGATCTCAGCCCAAAGCAATCCACTCTAGCACCAGATCAGGACGCGCAGCTGGGCCAAAATGATGGAGGTTCTCAAGAGGGTGGATGGGAAGTGGAATTTCAAGTGTGTCTCATCTGATATGAGTGTGACCACTCATTTCTACCCTTTTTCTTTTTGACTATCCCTCATTGGCCCTGAGCCGTGTGAAAAACCCCTAAACCCTAAACCCCAACAGCCCTAAACCCTAACGCCCAACTTTGTCATAGAACCACGAAGCCCCGCCCTAAGACTCCGAACCTTCAGGCATGCACACACAGTGCCCAAAACCCGTCAAAATCTCAAAGAGCCCCTGTCTTCTAGAACCCTTGTAGAGCCCTTGTAGAAGCCTTACCGAACCCTTATAGACACTCAGCCCTACAACAGAGCCACCCTTCAACCTTGATAGAACTTTAATGTTAACTCTTATACACTGATATGGGAGTCTCCGAAAATAGGGGACCCTAATATATTACCCTAAATAGTAGGTTCCTTATGATAAGACCCCTCAGATAAGGTGCCCCTAATCTTCGGAAACTCCCATATAGATATGTCGACCCCAAACCCCCTTATAGAGCCCTTCTAGAACCCCGAAAGGTCTTTCATCTTAACTTAACTCTTATAGACCCTAAACCCTAAATCCTAAACCCTAAACCCAAAGCCCAAACTCTAAACTCTAAGCTTGCCGCCTCCCCAGGTCAGGAGAGCGCTGATCAGGGTTTGCCAGAGCGGGCCCTTTCGGAGGACGCGGCCACTTTTTTGGAGACTCTAGGGTTCAGGGTTTAGGGTTTGAGGGCTGTAGGGTTTAGGGTTGAGGGCTTTACGGTTCCGGGTTTAGGGTTGAGGGCTTGAGGGTTCGGGGTTTAGGGTTGAGGGCTTCAGGGTTCCGGGTTTAGCGTTGAGCGCTTTAGGGTTTGGCTTAAGGGTTTGGCTTTAGGGTTCAGGGTTTGGGGGTTAGGGGGTTTAAGGCTCAGGGTACAGGGTTTTTGAAACCAAGGTCTAGAGGCTATCTGAAGGCTTTCTATACGGGTACTATGTATGACACAAAAACAAGGCGACTGTGGGTGCTGTAGGGTGGGTAGAGTGGAGTTTTGAGGGTTTAAGGCTTGTTAGGGGTCAGGGCTTCGTGCATAGGTTGGCAGGTGAGTCCAGTGTCTAAGATTTAGGGTCTTGGGGGATGGGTAGCTATAGTAACCGTTTTCAAGGGGTGAAGAATTTTATAGTTACTGGTCGCTGGCCAGAAGGTTTCGAAGGAAGGACGGGCGAGTTATAATCCTCTACTGTACTGTATAACTCGCTTGAGGTACTAACCGGACTTTGTAAATTACGGGTCTAACTCCTACAAACCCGAAAACCATAAAGTCTAAACCCCAAACCCACAAACCCAGGAGCTCTCACCTCCATCAATCGTACAGCATCGATACGCCTGCAAGTAAACGCTGTGCAACAACGGCCCCTGGAGTTTGGAGTTTGTGGGCAATGGCTGAGTCCTTGCTGGAATCTTTGGTGGAAACGAATCCTTGGTGGAAGCGCTGCGACGTGTGCTTACTGAGCCACGCTTGCTGAGCCGCGAACCCTTCGAGGAACCCTTAACCTCCAAAGCCCTTGTGGATTCCTCCTAGTAGTCCTCAGAGGAACCCTTAAAGCAACCCTTTCTGGGAACCCTTAGAGGAACCCTTGACCTCTAAAAGATTTGTGGTTCTTCCTAGTAATTCTTTATAGGAGCCCTTTAAGAACCCTTTTTGGGAACCTTTCGAGGAACCCTTAACCTCTAAAGCCCTCGAGCCCGGCACGTCGCAGGGCAAGCTCGGATTTCGGAGGCGGACCTCGGAGGGCGACGCCTGAGACATGTGGGGGTTTCCGCAAACTAGGGGGTACCGTTAAAAGGGATCCTTTTAGGGTTTTACAAAGGATCGTTTAAGGGTTCGTAAAAAGGGGTCTATAAGGGTTTGATAACGGGTCTAGGGTTTAGAGTTTCCGAAAACTACCCTGTATCCAGATGTATCGTTCTCGTTGTTTTTGCAGTTTTGGGTTAAGGGTTAGGTTGTTTTTGGATTTGGGTAAAGGCTTGCGTAAACCTTAAACCCTAAGATGTTTTAGGCTTCAATCATAAGGAGTTTTAGGGGGGCAGGGGGGCGGGGGGTAGTTTGAGGAAGTATAGTCCCCTACCCCCCTCCCCTAAACCCTAAACCCCCTAAGAGTCCCTAGGATTCAATGTTTGTTTCGACTGCGCCCTGAATTTCAAAGGGGCCATCAATACTCTGCTTTGTCGTAGCTCCTTGGGGGTTTGGGGTCTCTGGAGAGCCCAAAAAAAGGGCCTTTGTTTAGGATTTAGGGTTTGGGTTCCTGACACTACTGCGAGACTCTTACAAATGCTGAAGGTATCTTCGTTCATAGGAGGGCCTATGGGTTTTCCGGGTCACCGTGGACCCTGCACCGTCTGTGCTTAGTGCGATTCTGTGAAAGGATCCTCTGCTGAGCCGTGTACATGCCGGTTTCGCAACATCCCGCAGCCGGGATGCTGTGGCTGTCCCTGAAGAAGTTCCTTCCCTGAACGAAGGCCGCAACTCTAAAGACCTAACTAATGCCGAAACAGGCCGCCCATCCGAAGTTTACTAAATCCCAGACCTGAAACTGTAGATTTTGGAGTTTAGACCGAGCCCCCCCACCCGAAAGAGCCTTAAGAAAAGCACAGAAACAAACACTGACTACACCACGGGCTTTAGGATTCTGACCAGAAACAAGAAGCCCATAAGAACCCTAAACCCTAAACAGAAAATGCACCTCCGACGGGCCAGCGCGGCATGGCGACCAGGAAAACGGAGGGGGTTCAAGTGGGACCGAGATCGCCGCCCCAAACTCCACGTAGAGGATCATGGGACTTAGTAATAGGGTTATAATTAAGGTAACCATACTTAGAATTACTTAAAACCTCAATTAAGGTACGTATAACCATACTTACTAAGTCCCATGATCCTCCAAGCAGAGCTCCACCACGCCATTAAAGCCGTTGCAAATTACCTACAGAACCCCCAAGAAATCCCCAGTGAGCTCGGTGTACGTCCCCATGACATCCTGAACATCGTTATCAAACTAAAGACCCCGGTTCCACTTCCGCTTACGGCTTGGGGACAGCCTCATCTAAAGCCTGCTAGTATGGACGCCTGAATATTTTATTGGTTCCTTTAAGGGCTATATAGGGTTACTATAATTAACGGTTTCAGAGGGTTGTTTATTCTATTAATTTGGATTTGTATCGAACGCCTGAATTACAGTATATCCCAAGACCCTTTGCCATTTGTTCCGGCCCTTCTGTCGGTGGTAAAGACGGGTAAAGACGCTTCACACACTTGGCGCAAGGGGCTGGATCAACGTTTGCAGCCATATAAGAGTGTTGTGGGTCACTCGTACAATGACTTTTGTTGGCTCCCCAACTCACACCATCGCAACTTTGAAGCGTTTTGATTGGAGGATCAGGGAACGTAGTTAGTGCGACAAGCTTAGGGTGTTAGCCCTTAGCCCCATAAGCCCAACCCTGCATCAACCACTTCCGAAGCCACTCACGGTTGGTGGGTGCGGCAGTGTACATTGACGGTTCAAGGTTTAGAGTTTCGGGTCATGGTATGAGATTCTTGCGATTTAGGTTGGGGGGTTTAGGGCTCAGGGTTTGGAGTCTAGAGTCTGGCCCTAAACCCTAAACCCTAAACCCAAAACCCTAAACCCTAAACTTCTGGGGTTCAGGCGGCTTTGCGGCTAAACGGCGCCTGTGCGGTTTGATGCTTTCGGGCCTGCACGTGCTGAGCGGAGATTTCAGAGTTTGGGAGCTCTGGGATCGTTTTAGCCTAGGGTTCCTTTAAAGGGATCTAGAGGGTTCCTTAAAGGGATCTATAGGGTTTAGGGTTTCGGGTGTAAAATCAGGGTTCCGGGCTTCGAGGTTGAGGCTTTTTTGGGGTTCAGGGTATGCGGTTTTGGGTTTAGGCCTTTATGGCTTCGTGATGCGTGACGTTTCGGCTCGGCACTCAATCTAGGTACATTTCTGGCAGGGAAAAGTCGCTAGCCCAAGTCCAGAATCAAGCTGCAAGCCAGTGATACAGCCAAGACCCCCAAGCCCAAAGCCTTAAACACTAGCGCAGCAAATGTAGCTCTGAATAGTTAGTAAGAACATCTCCTGACTATAGTGCATAATAGAACAACATTCGAACTCCACACCGAAATCTACAATGTATGTAGCTCTGCATAAGTAGCAAGAGTATCTCCTCATAGTCTATATAGCACGGTACTCTAGATCAACCACCCACAACACTATTCCAATTTTTACAAGGCTCCTACCTAAATAGAATGGCTTAAACAATTACCAAGACTATTTTGGGGGTTCCTTACTATAGTTATAGTATAGCGGGCCCCCAAACCCCATTCTAATTTAATTATGCCCCCCCATATTTTCTAACTATAGATCCGTAATAGAACCCTTTAAAGGAACCCTTAAAGGAACTTTATTCTAGTTATTAAGGCCTCTATAGTACACTTAAGCCGTTCGCCTGAGCCCGGAAGCCTCGACCATGGACTCTCCGAAGCAGGCGGGCCCAACAGTGGTTTCCGGGCTCGCGAGTCTAGAATATTGGGACGGGTGTGCGGTATTCCATACAATCGTGATAGCAGGGACTGCAAGGGAACAAAAATTGAGACTTACTGAGGCTTGTCAGCGCTTCATGGACCCTAAACCAAGAACCGACACCCGAAAGCGAAGCGAGTGCGTGGTGCATGTGGCAGCCTCGCTTCGAAACTGTTTTGGGACATGCGCTGGACATTTAGATACATTTAGTAGGTTCCGTAGTCGTTAGAACACGGGTGTGGGGTAGTTGGTGCTGAGGTTATAGAAACTGAAAGAGGCCAGCACTAGTAGTAATTTTCCGATCGTACACCCAATCGAGCTTCACAGTGTCAGATTTTGTGTGTGTGTGTGTGCGTGCGTGCGTGCGCGTACGTGGGTGTGAGTGTGTCCATCGAAGTTGCATCTGCTGCCCGCTGCATTTATGAGCAAAGCATCCCAAGCCCCCCCCTTTTTATTCCGAAGTACGAAGCAGCAAACCCTAAACCCCTAAATCCTAAACCCTAAAGCCCAAGCCCCAAGCCCCCTAGGCAGGCAGTGAAGCCTGGACCTCAAACTCTAAAGAACTCACGCAGGAGCACCCGAGTGCTCGCTTCGTGGCTGAGTCGATCGATGGCATCACCGTGCGTTTGAGACCCAGCGCAAGGTTTGCACAATGTAACCTTAGGGTTCCTGTTTATATTTATAATTTAAACGCTTCGCGTCGCCCGCCTCGGCCCGGCCTTAGGGTTCTTGAGGCTGTTGTTTCGTCCTTTCCGGTCCCTAGGTTTAGGTTAGGGCGTAGGGTTAAGAGTTCAGGTTTGAAACTGCCTTCGTATTGCAGCCTTGGGGGCAGGCCGCAACAAGTAAGGGTGCTGTATGAAAATCCCCTGTATTCGGAGACTCTCATATATGTAGGTGTTGCAAGCATTGGCGGCATGTGATGTTTATCCCAAGAAGTTCGCAATGTACTTATCCCCCAAGGAACGGAGGAAGTCAAGTGGAGAGCAAACAACAAGAATCGAAAGAAATAAACACGAACGACTCTATCGGTTTAGGGTTTAGGGCAGGGCAGGGCGGGGCCAAGCAGAGCAGGGCAGGGCAGGGCGGGGCCTGGTGGGGAGGGGCAGGCAGGGGCAGGGGCAGGGGCAGGGCAGGGGCGGGGCAGGGTTAGGGGCAGGGCCAGGAGGAGCAGGAGGGGCAGGAGGGGCGGAGGGGCAGGGACAGGGGCGCCCTAAACCCCTAAACCCCTAAACCCCCTAAAACCCCTAAAACCCTAAAACCCCGCAAACCCCTAAACCCCTTAAACCCCTCAAACCCTTAAAACCCTTAAAACCATCGATTCAGAGGCTCTGCGGTGCCCGACAGGCCCTTCTACAAGGCGCAGTATCGGACTTTGGGTTCTTGCTTTGGGGCTTTAAAGGGAACTCCAGAAAGTTGGAATATGGTTTCAGGGTAAGATACCTTATAATTTACCATAAAGGGTTTAGGATAATCATATTCCAACTTTCTGGCTTTTACTATAGGGTTTAGGGTTTGGCGCTGAGGATTTAGAGCCTGTAGGGTTTAGGGTTTAGGTTGGGTATAGGATTTAGGATTTTATGTACTGGGTTTTGGTGTGATTGCTGAGGGGTTAGGGTGCTTGAAGGGTGCTTTAAGACGGGGTTTTGTGTTTCAGATGAGCCTCTAGAAGGGTCTTAGGGTGTAAGGCGTAAGGGCTGTAAGGGCTTCGGGAGTTTTGTTTGGGGGCTTTTGGATTTCGGGTACTTTCAAACTGGAGGTTTCGGTCTTTAGTTTGGTGGGACTGATATGATGAGCACTAGTGGCATAATGGTGTACATGTTCCGAAGTCGTATTATGAAGTAGTATGGTTGCTACTACTCTGGTCTAACTCTTCTTCTCAACCGTATCATGGCTCGCAGCATGGCTTGTTGCTGCAGTTGTTGTTGCTCTTGGCTATGCTTCTTATGACTTCTACTATTCCTTGGGTACGGCCCCCACTCAGTAATAGTTGAAGAGGATTCATAATATAGATACAGTAGGACCTTAGTAGTAGCCCTGTTATAGGCCATTATAGGCTCTTACTGTAAGGGGGCCGAACCAAAACCATTCCCTTCAAAGCAAGTTCATGACTCCAACGGGGTTGATGAGCCTTGGGTGCCAGAGTTTTGCGGGGACTGCAGAGCTTAGCCAGAGCTTGCCCGAGTGATCTGTCAAGCATATGGGAGTTTCCGAAAATTGGGGGTACCTTATTTGGGGGTCCTTAGAATAAGGATCCTACTATTTAGGGTACTATATTAGGGTCCCCTATTTTGGAAAACTCCCATATCGAAGCCGAAATCCCACCCCTCGAATGGACGGGCTGAGCCTGAACTCCGGGCCAGGTCGTGCAGGACAAAGATGGGCAGACCTACGCGCAGGCGCGGGCTAGAGTTGCTTGGGAGGGGTTTTCTGCAGACGGGTTGTGTATG